ACTGGCACAGGTTGCCCAGAGAGGTGGTGGATGCCCCATCCCTGGAAACATTCCAGGTCAGGTTGGACAGGGCTCTGAGCAACCTGATCTAGTTGAAGATGTCCCTGCCCACAGCAGGGGGGGGTTGGACTAGATGACCTTCAGAGGTCCCTTCCAACCCAAACTATTCTATGATTCTGTGAAAGGTATGTTGCCCTCAATAGACTGGCACTTACAGCAGCCAGAAGATACTCCTGTTATTCCATTGCCAGTCAGTGGTTATGTGTCTGCTGAAATGCAGATGTTGTTCTGCACTTGCAGCTGACCTTAGAACCACTAGGGACTATATCTGTTGTACCTGAAATTGTAGTATTGAGCCTTAACCTGCTTCCTACAGCAGTACAGAGGTAAGATGTTCTTGGGTAGGACTGGCTCTGGGTCTACTAAAGTATTCCATGAGTTTGTCTTGTTAAAGAGCTAGGGTAGTAGGAAAGAAAAGGTAATGAATGACTGACTTTGTCTTATGTTCCAGTTGAAGTGGAGGAACATAAAGGTACCAACTTTTAAAATTTCAAGGTTATTGTTTACAGGCAAGGCTCACATGACCCCTTAAATAGTGCTGTGAATTTGGAAGTGGAAGTAGCAAGAGACATTCCTTATACATTTTTGTCCTACCAAAACTCTGCACCAGGCAAAGGAAGTCTTGGAGCTCCTCTTCTCTTCCCTTTTCCTGCCTGCTGCCTCTGCTCCAATTTCAGCTGCAGTCCTAACACTACCTTGCTCTTGTGGTTTTAAAGCCACTAAGAGGAGCAGAAGCTTGAAGTAGTTTTGTTAATCTTCAATAAATCTAGCTCTACCTGCTTCTTATGAAAAATGCATATAAAGCAACATCTGTTGTTTTTTATCAGCTCAATAAACAACCAAGTAATTACTAGGTAGTTAACCCTTCTAAAGCCTGTTACAGACAGGCTTATAGTAATGCATTAGCATTGCAATTACGTTTGCCATTAGCTTACCAGTCCTGGAACTGTTAGTATGCAAGAAGGATGTCTATAAATTAAATTTTAAAAAGGGCCAGACTTCTGATGCTCAAATGTACTGTTTCTGTAGGATTCCTTTAGGAAAACTAAATGTAGCTGAATTGCTACCTTGTCGTGGATTTAAGAGCTCACCCATGTTTTAGCATTTGCATTAAATAGTCTTTAATTGCTCTATACTAAACTGTATAACTTCCATACAGTCTATTATGTGTCTGCATCTTGTCTCATCTTCTGTCTCCTAGTAAAAATTGTTACCTCTTAGCAGGCTGACCATATGCTATCTTGACTAGCATGTCAAGAGTAGAAATAAGTTTAGCTTTCATTGGCTTTAGTTTGATGTGGAAACCTGCATCTTCAAAGGCAGTTTGTTGAAGAAACACCTTAAAATGAGCGAGAACTGTAGTAGTGCGAGAAGCTCAAAGCGCTGAATGCAAGAGCATCATGTGCCATTGTGAAGGATACCAACTGAATATAATGTTGCTGAATATGGTAAACTGCACTACTTCATTAAGTATCTGTTTTTTCTCCACTGCAGGAGCCTGAAGATGCAGCAAGCCTGATAGTGAGGACCAAAGAAACTCCTTAAAGAAGTCAATCTGAAATATTGACAATGTCTATTATGGATCACAGCCCCACCACTGGAGTGGTGACTGTTATTGTTATTTTGATTGCTATTGCGGCTCTTGGTGCCTTGATACTGGGCTGCTGGTGTTACCTGCGTCTGCAGAGGATCAGTCAGTCTGAAGATGAGGAAAGCATTGTGGGTGAAGGAGAAACCAAAGAGCCTTTTCTTCTGGTGCAGTACTCTGCTAAAGGACCTTGTGTAGAGAGGAAAGCTAAGCTAACTCCAAATGGCACAGAAGTACATAGCTAACTTGGAGCAACATGTGTATATGGACTATGCTTATGATGTGTGTAACCAGCAGAATATATTGTGAAGAACCTGGTCACATACACACTACTCATCAGAAAACACCCTGATGAGGATTAAATAAGCTTTGTTTGGAACTGCATGCACTGAGAAGCTGCACTTTGCATCAACTGTGTATCCTAATTCGTCTATGACAGGAGCTGACTCACCTGGCATAACGTCCATTGCCGGCAATGGACCCAGGAATATACTGGTGTGAAGAGACTACTAGTGTTTTTTGTTACTTGAATGTTTAGCTGAGCCTATTTTGATGGAGCTACTACTGTAATGTGAACTACTTTACAACTGTGAACTGTAAATAGGCTGCCAGAAGCTTTTTGCTTTGTGTTCCACAGCACATGGGAATAGTATGATGCAACTGTAAATAACACACAAGGGGACTCCTGAATCACAACTATAGATGGGATTCCAGACCTTCAAAACCAAATCAGCAGTTAAAGCTTGCTTCTGCTACAAACTTGAGCGCACAGCCATAAAGTCAGAACTCCTACTCTTAACAGCTTATTGGACTGATGCAGAATACTTTCTTTGAAAAGAAGGTATAAGCCTTCAGTAACATGTTGAGGGAGGAAACACAGGAGCTGCAAGAAAGGAAATTATTTTCTTTAGTTGCAGCTAGGTAGGTTAAGCTTTTGGCTGCTAGAACTTAGTTCTCTAACTATGTAGCTACTGCAAGGAAACTGCCATCTTGATGGATTCCAGCCTGGGAACTAATGATGGATACTAAACCCTCAGGGATGGTCCAGAAGGTTTCCAGGAGTCTGAAATGGCAGTAGAGCAGGCTTTTCTGCATGCTGAAACTGCAGAAGTGATTACTTATTAAAACTGGCGTAAGTGCAACTAGTATGAATTTTTCCTAGAACCCCTGTTTGTGTACTTAGCAGTTAGGGTATATGTTAACAGCCTGTTGTAAAAAGGCATTTTAGTCTACAACCAGTCAAGTATAGAATTCAGTTACTCTATCTTGTAGATAACTCTCTTGATTTAACTGTACTACTACAAGATAAACTTCAGTCTTTCCTACAAAAACAAATGTTGATTATGGGGAAGCAAGATTGCTGATCAGTTTGTTAAAGGTTTTTAACTAGCAATGGTGAAGTCCTTCCAAATAAGGACATCCCTTCCCTTTCCTGCCCTGTAGTTCAGCCATAGGAACTGTAAAAAGATGTGTTAAATGGTGAGTTCTGGACCCCAAAGGTTTGGGAGGGAAGAGGGGGGCAACACTGAGCCACCAATGGCAGCTTACATATTCTAAATCCCAAATCCCTTAGGGTGGGCACATATGCTTTGAGGCCACTGACCTGTTTTCTATTACTTTATACATAGCTTCCTTTGCTTACTGAAATTTTTAAATGCTTAATTGCCTAGGAGAAAAAAAAATCTACTGTAAATCTGTTCCCTGAGATAAGTTACAAATAATGAAGTCTAAGTTCTTCAGCTCTACAGGAAGCATTAGACTTGCTTCTTGTGCCTGTACATATGGAATGACTAAGTAACATAGGCCTAGCAACCTTGCTTGAGAATTACAACTATATGCAAGACAACACTGGCCTGGACAAAAAGTCTTGTCCCTTTCTTCTACAGCAAGAGGTTGACTTGCATTTTTAGTGCTACATTTGCCTATTTTTTTTTTTAATTGAAGGCTATAGTTTGAAGCAAAACTAATGCTGTCAGTAGCAGAAAGCTCCTGGTGTTGCCTCTTGAGTACAATATGGGGTACAGCTGATAGAGGGCTGTTCTTGCCCTGGCATGTGCTTTTTTAAAGATAGCAGTCTCATGAGACTTGCACATATAGCCAGACCTGTACACTTAAACTGCTGTATTCTAGACCTCTTACAAATCAAGGAGAAAAGGATTAATTCATTAAGACTTTCTTTAGTTCACACATGGCTCTTGCAGGTTTCAAGACAGTCAGATAACTGGTATACAAAAGTGATGCAAAGTGCTGAAGTTCTAGAACAGAATAGTTGTAGCAAGATGACTTTGTCCATTCAAGTTTACTGATTACACAGATGAAGGATCTCTATTTTAATTCAGCAAAGAGAATGCAGTGTAAAGGGCAAACTTCAGAACTTATGGAAAAGTATAAATCAAAGGTCTAATTTCTCTTCTAGCAGCTGTAAGAAAGCCAGTGAAAAATAACTGGTCCTTAGTCAGAGGTGCTTCACACTGCTGCCCCTAAAAATCAGCCTCTTCAAATGAATAGGTGTTTGCAAGTTAGTACAATAGTAAAGTGCAGAAAGTGTTTTCCATTCTCTTCTTCTCTTTAGATGTGGGTATCTAATAAGTTTTTCAAGTATACAAAAATACTCCATTTGATTTTTCTTTTTCTAGATCGTGTGGGGGAAGTAGTCTTTACTTACAATGAATTTCAATAAAATTTGCATAAATACCTACCCAATACTGTATCATTTGACTTTGTGTAAGCAATCATTCTGTCCTGTTTCCACTACTGTGATCTGTCTCTATGGTATCAATATTATCAATCCTTTTTTCCTCTACTGTGGCAGTAGCTGTTGAAACTGATACATCATTATCTTCAGAAAGCGTTTGTTCTGACTGAAGGGATTCTTTAATTTCATCTTTGCTCTGTAGCTTTCCTTCCCTCGATGCCACCAGGATTCTCAGTAAAGTATTCTCTTTAAGGAGGTTTTCTGATGCATCAGCTAATTCTTGAAGCTTTTCAGCCATTTCTAATAATTCTTGATTCTTCTGGTCATATGTGGCCTGTAACTGCTCACTGTGGAGCTGCAGAGTCTTGTGCTGCTTTTCCAGTGTGTGTTTTTGCTGCTGTAGTTTATGTTCCTCTCTCCTAGCTTCAGAAAGCTGTGCTTCAAGCTGGTCATGGGCCTGATGAAGGGCACCAATTTCTGATCTTAACTTCTGAATTTCTCTCTCTAAGTGGGAGATGTGTCCTTGCTGTAGAACTGCCTCTTCATGTAGGCATTCTTTGGTACAGGGCTCTGATGAAGAAAGACTTGAGTAATGTAAAATAAATTTAAGGAGATTAGGAAGGTTAACTGAAAAGTCTTCAGGGAACTTCACACTTTGTTCCTTCCTACAAAGACATAACAAGTTAGTATTAAAACATTCAGATAGGTAAGCAATGATAATTTTATCTAAGCATCTGCTGTTCAACTCCAACTTGATATCTTGGTTTTTATCAAGAATGGTTAATATAGCAGCTAAGAGAAACCTGAACTCATGTAATAAAGATAGAGCACACGGTATTTTCTTTTGATGAAGCCTTTTACCTGTATTCCAGTCTGGGTGCTGTAAGCATCTCTGCACTGGATTAGTATTTGTCTGAGAGCAAAATTTTTTGTCAAATTTCAGGAAACAAATTTTACTCAAAAAAAAGTATCCCAGTTATGGGTTATGAGCTTGAAGTAGATATTGTTGCATCACTGTTGGGCAGGTGTGATCAGAGCTTACTGATATTAGCATTTGTTAGTAAGTTGCAGGACAGCATTTAAGTGTTCCTAATTCTACATACATTGTTAGAAATTAAGTCCAGACGTATAAAGCTATCTGATGGGAAATGACTATTTTGAGCCTATATATGTTATCCTGGAAGAAGAGCTTAGTGTGTTCCAACATCAGAAGGGTATTACAAGAAGCAGAAAAGTACAATTTGCTTTTAAACAGTAAGCAGTCACTTTAGTCAGAAGCAAGGCCCTTTTGCCGTCAGAAAAACAACTCTTTTTACTTGTTCCTCTTACTTCCTTGTCTTTATGCCACTGAGGTGATCAAGGAGGCAAACCAAGTAAGTTTTTTGTTTTTTTGGGGTGTTTTTTTTCCCCTGAAGCTCATTATATGGCTGTGAATACTAAGCCCAGCATATGAAGAGGTAGGCTCATTGCTTTCTGCTACAGCATAAACTGTTACTCTTAACCTAATGAGTCCAAGCCGCTTGAAGACCAACAACTACCAAATTCCTTCCTCAAGACTACTAGCCATCAAAAGACACCCACAACCTCCAGCTATGTCAAATGTTAAAATTATTGCCCTTTTTGGACCACGTGCATACTTCTATCACAAAACATAGGAGGCTGAACTGTCCTCTGAGGACCAGACAGGAACTAACTCTTAACCTTCTCTTTCTGAACCAGTTACATCTTCAACCTTTCACTGAGCATGCTGCAGTGTAACATGAGTTTGCTGCCTCCTGACTATTGCAGTAGAGCTACTTATACGTCAGTATGTTTAACTGGGAAGCTAGATAATAGTTTATCACTTTGTATCATCTTTAGCCTTCACCAGTCAGAAGCATATTCTCTCTTTCATTAGGGAGCCATCAAAACAGAGAAGAAAAGCTTAGCTTACTTCCCTTCGGTTGCCAAATTCATAACAAGATTAATGGTACGTAGCATACATTCAGACATGGGTTAATTACACGAGTCAGAAAAAGGATATAGGATAAACCCAAACAAAAATGATTCCAAAGCAAGAAAGCCGCATTCAATTATAATGCCTAATGCCTCACAGTTTACATGCTGCTCATGGACAACTCCTACGTCCCCACATGTGACATTATGTTTCTGAATCGCTTACACTGTGCATCTGAACAGGGGAGTTACTCAAGTTACCAGTTACAGTTGCCTCAAAAATGCTTTCTGCGAAATCCAATTCATTAGCATATGGGATATAAACATATGCTAATTTCATTTACTGAGAACTACTTATTGTATTTCAGGTAGAAGACAGATACCGTATTTTATCAATAATTCAAGAACTTCAGCTAGATGAGGCTCCAGTTCATCAAAATTAAGCTATTTCTGGAAGCATAAGCAACATGATTTTTCTTCCCCCTGCAGACTTTTGGTGATCAACCAAGTTACTCTTGTAATTACCATCAGCAGTTTCTCAGCTGACAATCAGCTCACATCCAAGTTTAATGAATCATGGCATGATTTAGGCAAAAAATAGTCTACACTAAGACAAAACTGACTCATTATACAGTGGTAATATTTTACTATATCATCATCCATTCTTACTGATCAAAAACACAGTATGTATCAGAAAAAGCTAAAAGGCTATTTAAAACTAAAAGCAAAACAAAATATTAACAGCATGTGGTGGAAAGAAATTGAGAACTGAGTTAATTTGCAAAAATTGTCTCATAAGGCAAACGCATAAGGAGCTGCACAGAAAGCCTTAATATGAGGCACCTTTATATCCAAAATTAATACATGACTACTCTAGTAGTGCTACTGATACTACAAATACTGTCAAAACCTAATTTTCTTGATTACCTAGATGCAGCAAAATATAAAACACGCTGGAGAGGAAAAGCAGGAGAGAAAACAATGACTAGAGGTAAGGTACCTTTATGAAACCAACTGGAGTATTACTACAAAAACAATCTTACTAAAACTATGAAGTCTGTCACTCCAGAGACAGTCTAGAGCCGCTTTACAAAACCGACCAAGGCAAAATGAGTATCTATGAAAAGAAATAGGGAACACCAGACTTTGTAGTAACACAGGGAAGATGGTAAGTATTAGAGGAAGCTTCACTTACCATAAATTGTTTTGCTGCTCTAAAACCTGCTTGAGCTATGCTTTAAAATAATTCAAGAAAAACCTTTTCATCATGTTATACATGACACTCACTCTGTCCCCTAGAAGGTACGGTTCTGCAAACTAGATCCTTGTTCAAAAGTAAGAGGGGAAAAATCACTTGACTCAAGTTTCCAAATAGTATTTTGGGGCTCATTAACTAGAACAGTGGTCTTAAAACTGTAGCCACAACAATATTTGGAAATCAGTTTCTAACTTTTTCCAGCCCCGAATCTAATCACATTAGTATTCCAATAGTTGTTAATATGGTTAGATCTAGTAGATCTTCAGCTTATGCCACTTGACCTAATGGAGTAGAAGACAACAGCCTACTACTACTAGTTGTCTCAGTTGTCAACAGCACCTCATGAAACACATGTGGCTCATCTCAACTAAAACTGAGACCACTCATCTTTAAACCAGCAGGTCCTCTGCTTGTAGCCACTCAAGCCAGCCAGAACTAATGGACTGTGCAAACAAAAGATAGTCTGAATGCTGGAAAATGTGCAAAACTGAGACCCAGTGGAATCTGCAGAACTTGACAGGTACCTGGATTGGGGTATTGGCACTGAAGACTACAGCTTTTGCTAAGCAGCAGATGAAGGTAATGCTGCCTTTATGTAGACAGGTACACACCTTGGAAGTACTCCAGCTGAGTTCCTGCTCAATTCACCTAGGGAACAGAGAAGGACTGGAACCGAGCTGGAGGAATGTGGCAGAGGGAGCCTGATCTGAGGCTGATTTGCAAAGCTTACTGCACAAAGTAGGGGAGATGATGAGTTGGAAGTTGGGGTGACTCAGAACTGATATAAATGAAACTATTTCTGTACTGAATTAAAACATGAATTTAGAATTGCAAAACTTAAGGCACAGGTTTAAAGATTTTGTTGTAGGTAACACTGCACAGTACCACTAGTTTGAATTACCATTTGCTGATGATAGAGGTCTTGAGGGAGAAGGGTGGAAATCAACATTTGTATCTTACATCACAAAGAGGCAGGTATTATAGTGCTTGTTTTCATTTTATTTCTATAAAAACTGCAATTGTCTAAGATTGAGTATTAATCTTTTAAAAAAAGAAAAACAAAACCCAAGGTCAATCAAGTCTAACACATAGGGCATACATGTAACACCAAAAACATCTGAAACAATAAATTGAGCACTTTCGAAAGCTTGTGGCTCGCTTGCATCTAATGTTTCTTTCTTGTTCCTCAGCCTGTGAGAGGCTGGATGCACCTGCACTGTGTGTACTGGTACAAAGCAGAAATGACACACAGGTTTGACACTGGATTTCAGAATGTCTCCCTGCTGCAGACGAAGAGTAGGATTCAGGACCCTTGTATGCCATTTCCAGGTCCCATCCCAGTCCTAAATGTACTCTCCTGCCCTTTTACATCCCTAACTTTAGAGTTCCTTTTTTTCCTCACCCTGCCTTTGTGCCTTTCTCTACCGCACCCTCCTTTGTCTTGCTTTATTTTTTCCACCCATTCATGAATCGATTCCTGTTGTCCAACTCAGCTTTCTTTCGCCATCCCACAAATTATTCTCAATCCTAGTTGTCTCCTTGAAACTACACTTAGCTGTCCTACACTCATTTCTTGGCTCTTTCTCTGAGGTCTTGCTTGCTGTATATAGTTTCACTTCAACAGCATGTACACCTTGTGTAAAACAAGGGTGCTCATCTCCTTTGGATATTTTCCTCTGTAGGTGTAAAACTCCTACTGAAGCTTCATTTGTTTTCTGTTCTAAAGAAACAACGCAAGGCTTCTAGAATGCCAACAAATCTGCTGCTACTTTTCTCCTGTGGTAAGTCCAGCACTTGTTACTGAGTTAG